CAGAGGTGATTGCTGATCTTTTTTAATTTTTATTTTAATTTATTTATTTTTCATTTCAATGAACATCTACAGAGATTTTGGAATTCCATTCATTCATTGTTGCACCCTTCTTCCCACCCACCCCACCTCACCCCATCCTCTGTTTGCTCCTCTCCCTAGAAAAACAAAAGAAAAACTCCCTCATTGGTACACAATACCCCCCACACCTCCCTCAATACCACCCCTAACCCCAGTTATAATCCACTCTGCAACCCTCATTGCGTCCTCCTACGATAAACATAATGCCCTAAAATATAATACTTTTAAACTATTCTCTCCCCCATAGACTTCAATGCCGTAAACATATTTCATCCAGTGTTTCTCAGCCTTACCCCCACCCCGATGCCAGCCTCATTCTACAACAGTGGCACCATATAGCATTTGTCCCTTTGTGACTGAGATACCTCACTCAGCATAACGTCCTCCAGGGTCACCCATTTTGAATAATATTGCATGAGTTCCTTGTTTTTCAATGCCCGTCTTTTTTGCTGAGGAGTAGCTGGTGGATTCAAACCGTTTGCCTTTGGGATTAGAGCACAGCTTCTTTTTTTTCTATATTTTATTAATTTTCATAAACATTTACAGAGATTTTGGGTTTCCATTCATTCATTGTTGCACTAGAGCACAGCTTCTTACAGAGATTTTCCCCTTTGCCATGTGGGGGGTGGGGAGAAGGAATGGTGTCTAAGGTTACAGCCACCCCTGCTGCAGCAAGGGGGTCACCTAACGGGGCCACTGTCTAGGATTGTTGGTAACACGGAGACGTGTATTTTCTGTGGACCAGATTTTGTTACATGACCAAGATGAGGTGAGGTGATCACAGTAAGAGGGGTGGAACACAGCCTACTCCTAGGAATTAGTTAGCCAAAGATTATATATATCTCCTGAGTCAAGAGAACAGAGGGTGGGCAATTCGCATCCTTCGTGGGGAGGGACATCAGGAAGAACTCACTAAAACACCTGGCAGATGGCCTGGACATCCACCAGCGTCCGAGGATACCTAGAAGTTTGCAACTGGGCCACTGACATAGGACCACTCTTGCTCCTAATCCTCCTGCCAGTCTCAGGGGACATTAGTGATGAAGGTTGGACTGGAGGATGGGACAAAAAGAGAGAAAGGAGAAGGTGGCCCTTCTGCCTGCCTCACTGCACGCTGCTGACCTGAGCCTCCAGGCTTGTGAGCACATCAAACTAAGTGAATTTTAGAGTTTTAATCAGAGTTTTAGATCATGAGGATCTGTAAGAAGCACCTTGAGGATGATTAGTACAATATCACTAAAGAAAGACACATGGAGAGGTAAAGAAAAGAAAGAATGTGAACTAGGTGAGGGGGGACAATGTGCAACAATGAATGAATGAAAATACAACTTTTCTGTAAACTTTTGTTAAAATCACAATTCAAATAGAAAAAAAATATTTTTTGTAAAAGTGAAAAAAAAAAAACCACACACACACAAACGGATAATCACCTAACTCATTATTCCAGCTCACTGACTCTCTGTTCCATCTCTTCTATTCTGCTTTTTCCCCCCCTCCAGCATGTGCGAAACTCCTACTATCTCAGTCTTGATATTCTGGATAATGTTTTCATGCATTTCTGTTCATTTTAGTACTGTGTTGGCTGTACCCTCTCTGTCTTGTGTTGATTTTTAAATTTCTTCTACCTTTTAATTTATATTATCAGGGTTTGTTTTTTTCTTCCATTTTTTGCAATTTCTTCAGTAGTTGTTTATGTTCCATCATGTTGATATATTTCTCTGGTTCCCTGTCTCTGGGATAACAGCTTTATTTGTGGTTTTTGTTCTTTCTTCCATTATTTGTACCTCCTTCTTTAGCAGTTAATATGACTCCCTGTCTGAGGTATTCATTGAGTCTTCACTATGCTTTGCTTTTTAGGAGAAGGTTTATTTTGGTTTTTTCCACAATGTTTGAAGTTGCCTTCTGTTTTCTTGGCATTATGTGAAGTTTTTCTTGGTATGTGCTGGACTTTTATATTGTGTTTGTGTAAGTTATTGACAGGTCTTTATCTCTATGATGTTATTTATTAGTTGCAGACTTAAAGTGTTTCCTTGATGAGGAAAGGCAATTCACTATGCCAGGAGTCCTTTCTTGGCCTGTGCAGTGGGAAAGCTCCCCTTTCCTAAGGTTCTTCAGCTTCTCTTTGGACTGCAGGGCAGCCTCTGGGAATCATGCTTGAGTGCTGCCTGCCTGTTCTAAAGATTAGAATTATCCTTGGTGATGCTGATGAGAACAGCAGCCGGAGGCCACCTTGCCCCAGTAGGCAGCTGCACCCTCTCTATCCTGTATGGGATCAGTGGCACAGGGCCCTACCTGTTTCCAGCTACAATTTCTTGCATGCCTCAGTTCTCACACAGAGCTTGGTGGAAATCTCTCCAGGCTGTGCCTGCTTCTTCTAAAGTTTGGAATTGTCTTTGGTGATGCTGATGAGCACAGCAGGCATGACCACCTTCTCCCAGCAGGCAGCTGCAATCTCTACTCCATATGGGGTCAAGGAGTCAAGGCCCTATTTCTATCTAGCCACCCTCTCAGTTCTAGCACACCCTTTCAGTTCTCATGTGCAAGTTGATTGAAACCTTGATTTTAATTATGTAAAATATTAAAGTCCACTGGAAGCCTTGATTTCAATATTATAAAATCAGCACTATGTAAAAATGGAGAATGACCACATTAGATCACAAAATACACCATTACATAACTGTCAAATGACTTCATTACTTAACTGGTAAATGACATCAGCACATAATTCTGAGTTCATCATTAAGTAACTGTCAAATTACTTAGAGTTGGGGCCCAATTGAGTTAACATATAACCTTAACCATCACCTCTGGTGTTACTTTTATCTGCTACCTTGGCATCGGTTACTGCCAGATGTATGTACCCAAGGCATATACTATTCAATATTCATGATCATTATAAATGGGAAACATCAGGTTACGAGTTGCTACGTGAGGAATGGGTAGAGTGGTATGGCTAGGGTCAGCCTGTAGAGGGAGCTACACAGAAGACCCTCTCAACACCTGAAGCCTCTTTCCTCCCTTGGACACTCAAAGCTCAGGGAGATCTTGGAGTATTCCTGAGTACTCCTAGAGTATTCCTCTGGACTCAGTCATTCAGATCTTGGGATTCATCTGCTTCCCACCGCTGGATACATCAGGTGTTCCAGGTATAGCTGCTCTCAGTGACAGGAAGGTAAAACACCGTTCTTGGTGCTATTTATTCAGTCTTCTGTCTGTGACCCATCAGCCATGGAATCCTTGGCTAAAGGTGTCATTATGGCCCTTGATGGTCCATGAATTCTGATGGCCAGGGCACCTGGTATCACCTCCAGGGCAGCAGCACCTCTACGACCCACGTCTAGGCCAGCCTGGCTCCAGGCTCAGCAAGAATGGCTCCAGAGACAGGGTGAGTGGATTTGAGTCTTCATGGTCTTGGGAAAGCGGGTTAGTGACAGTCTGTCAGTTGTCTACCAAATAACAATGTTTTCTTTTGTCTCTGCTAACTGAACTCATCGTGTTGCCTGCTCCAGCAGATGAAGGATACCTTGTCTAAGTAGATCATGGTAACTCGTTGGTCTAAAACTGGACACGTGATTCAGGTCTAGCAAATGAGAAATAGGGGGAATGCTTCTGGAAACTTCTGGGAAAAATTTTCTCTCAAGAAAAGAATGAGGCACTGGAGAAATTCTCAGTACTTTTAGGAGAGTATGAGAAGCTCAGAGCTGTGACAAACATGAAGTGAGACATCATTCATGCAGTGAAGATGGGAAAAGGAGGGTTAGAAAGCATTTGGATCACTGAGGACATTGCTAAGCTGTGGACCATGCTGGACCCACCTTCTTCTGCTTGTATGCTTAGTTAAGGCACTGGAGCTGGGCATTCTGCTGCTTGCACTGAACCCCAAGGGGTAGAGTGTGCCATGCGGGTTAGAGACTATACAGCTTTCACTATTCTCAGCAGGTTCTGGAGGACATGCTATCTGGCCCTGGATCCATTGGAGGCCAGAAAGGAAGCGCGTCAGGAGACCAAGCTGGATGATCTGATCCTTCACCTCCTCCCCACGTGAATCTAGACACATCTTCTCACTTTCTATACCTGCAAAATGGGGATGATAACTCACATGGAAGGGGCTGTTACCAGCATCTGTCTTTACTTTGGGGTGTGTGTGTGTGTGTGTGTGTGTGAGTGAGAGAGAGAGAGAGAGAGAGAGAGAGAGGAGGGGATATAGGAGAGAGAGTGAGCAAGAGACTTAAGCAGAAGAGTTGCCTTCATGAGAGGGTTCCTTAGAAGAACGAGTGATCCCACCAGTTCCTCTTCTCTGAACACAAGTCCACCTAATGCTTTGATGCTTCTATGTTCTTACACCCACCTCACATCCAATCCAATCATGTCAATTCTAGTTTCTAAAGGTTCTGTCCCTTCTCCAACCTCCACTCTCCAGTGCCTGAGTTCAGATCTCATTGTCTCTTATTAGAATATTGAATCAGGCTAATTTGGTTTCTCACCTCCTTTCTGTAACACTTAGGAGTGAATCTTTTCTAGCACACAGTAGGGCTGTGTCCCTGGAACCTGCTATTGTTAGATCCCCAATTCACATTTTACTGTAAACATCTATTTACCTACATTTCTCTCTTTTTTTCAGGTCCTGGCCCCTGTTCCCCAGGACCAAGCCCACTGCTAGGTATACAGAGGACTGGGGATATTCTCTGGAATACAATAGCAGCATGGGACTCAGCCTCGGGCAAGGTGAAGACATGACTTGGTGTGACCCAAGAATTTTGTAGAATGAACAAGTGAGAGCCACCAGCATGCACTGCATGTAGATACTTTATTGAAGCTTAGTGATTGTTTCAGAGGACCAGGTGCCCGTGGTGGGCAGCTGGGAGTCTAGCGCGGGGCTGGCAGTGGTGACCACCAGTTGGCAGGGCGGGTCTCAGAGGCGTTCACTTGCTGTAGGTCTTGGAGCCTGGGTCCAACAGCTCTTCTTTCAGCCCAGAGTCTGTCTGCAAGTCCTCCTCTCCGCTCTCAGCTAACTGCTGACCCTTGGCTCCAGCTGAAAGAAAAGGGATGTGGGCAGCACGCTCCAGGCCTGGATCATGTGCCCCCACTTGCCGTTCCTTTCCTTTTGGCCCAAAGAGACTCTAGCCTCTAAAAGGCTTTTGCCTTTAATATTCTACAGAGGGTAATTTCTAGGATATCAACCCCAGATTGATCAGCTAGCCACAGAGACATACTGAAGGAAGAATATGGCAGTTGCCCCACCACCTTGGTCACTTCCTGAGAAACTTGATAACATCTAAGCTGGTCATATCAAAGGCCAGACCAGACAATGGATCCTGATAAGAGTCTGAGCTTGGAAAAAAGGTGCCAAAACCTAATTTAATTAACATGTCAAATTCTGAGAAATACCATCTTAGTCCTCCCCAGGACCCCTATAAAAAGGAAACCCCCCCAAACTGCTAGGTGGTGCTCCATTTGGATTCTGTCTGCATGCCGTGTGGCTGGGTCACTTGGCGTCCCTCTCAGACCACACAATACGGCCTGTTCGTTTCTTGGGACCAATTCCTTTCTCTATTTCTCGCCCTCGCCCTCATGCTCTTTTTTATATCTAACACATACTTAGGACACAACTGGACTTGCTTGTATCAACAGAGAACTACCTGGCAGTGGAAGCTAAAGACATAGTTAATTCTAAAATGAAGTTGAGACACGGTCACTTCCCTGCTTTGTGTTCCAATCCCATTTGTCTCCATTTGAAGGACACCTGCCATTCTGAAACCTCCAGGCCAAACATCACCAGGCACACCACCCACGAGACGTCTCAGTCCCTCCAGGGACAGGTGACCCCTCCTCCCATGGGGTCCACTGACTTGGGTGCAGACCTCCAACATGACACCAGGAAAGCTGACAGGGATTCACTAGGTCCTGTGAGTCACTCCACACTCTGCTGGAAGCTTCTTTTTTTTTTTTTTTTTTGGCAATTCAACGTTATAATTTAAAACCCAGCCCACTACAAAATAAAATAAAAAAAATGTGTGTGTGGGTGCTGGAAGCTTCTTAAGGACAGAAGTTCCACTGTGCTCATCTCCAAGGATCAATGCCCTCATATTTTTAAAATATTTTTTTAGAATCTCTGCTACCAACAAACAAAGGAGTCTTTGGATGGTGCCACTAAGGTGCTCTTTTGTTGAAAAAGAGGTTAACGGTTCAATTCTATCCAGAGGCAAGGTAGAAAAAAAAGGCTTATGAATCTAGTGAAATGTCAGCCTTTGAAAATGGTAGGGAGCACAGTTTACTTCTCCTAAATGGCAGCTGCTTCGTTTTATAGGTGAGCTAAGTTCTCTTCAACAGGAAGGTAGAAACATCCGCATGGTAAATCCCTTCCTCAAGGATTTTTATTCAGTTTGGGGTTTTCAACACTCTAAGCTTGAAACCTCATTGTTGGCTCCCCATTCAACCCTTCCCCTTCCCTCCGGCCATAATCTCTCTGAACCTTGCTTTCTTCCCTTCCTGCCCCATGAGGACAGGTGACCCTCAGCACAGAGGAGCTCCCCTTCCCCCCACACTCCCACAGGGCCTTGGGTGAGCCTCCATGGAAGCCACAGAATCACCATCAGCCCTCCCGCCCCGTGCTGGCTCCGGGCCCTCTACCTGCTGATGCCTTCAGCTCCTGGATGTATTTGGTCCAGAAGGAGCAGTCGGCTTTCTTCAGGCCCTGTCGGTTGGGGAGCAGAGAGCTGAGCTCCTTGTAAGTCTCTCCACCATTGGAGGGGAGGAAGTCGGGCCAGGCAGCTGCAAACTCAGGGGCCCTCCGGGAGAACTCGTGGGGGTAGTTGGGGTTCCTGGAAGAGGAGAATAAAGGCCGTGAGACAAGCTGATGTTCCTCATTGGGACCACATGCTGGATGAACTTGGCCTCTGAGGATCAAAGTCAGTTATTGGTAAGTGCCACCACAGGGCTGGAACTCACTTAACCTGACTTCAGGGGCCACACCCCACATCAGGCAATTTCTGAAGAAGAAGGGAGGGCATGGACTCAGAACCCAGCATACCACTCATGACTTAGCATTGCCCTCTCACCCTCCGGACACTAACAAGGTCGTGGAGTCTACCCTGGTCCATGCCGTGGTTAAAGGGCTTGGCTGCTAATCAAAGTTTGGTAGTTTGAACCCACCAGGTGGTGCATGGGAACAGGATGTGGTAGTCTGCTCCCATAAAGATCACATCCTGGGAAAACCCACGGGCCAGCTCTACTCTGTCCTCTAGGGTTGCAATGGGTCAGAACCGAGTCTGTGTCAGCAGGTTTAGTTTTCTGACTCTGGGCTTTGACTAGGTGGATGGTGCAGAGGACTAATTCCCTCAGCTGCTAAACCAAAATCTGGAGGTTCAAATCTACTCAGAGGCACGTTGGAAGAGAAGCCCAGTGACCGACTTCTGGAAGACCAGCCACAGAAAACTAGAGCCTGGCTCTGCTCTCACACATGGGTCGCCAGGAGTTGGAGTTAACTCTGTGGTAGCTGGTTTCATTTTGATCATTTTAACGTAATTTGATAAACCCAATTGTTCTCAGCTTGAGGTAACTGTGCCTGCCAGGAGACATTTGAAAATACTAGAAACATTTCTGGGTTGTTTTTTTATTCCAATAGTGGGGAGATACTACTAACATTGAGTAAACAGGTAGATGCCAGAGATTCTACTAAACCTTTTATAATGCACAGCACAGCTCCCCAGTAAGGAATTACCCAGACCCAGTGCCAATTGTGTGGAGGCTAAGATGGTTTGAGTTGGAGCAATGAAATACGGCCCAATTAAAGAGTGTGAGATTGAAGCTTTTCTCCATGAAGATTATGTACACAGACATGGCTTTGATTAGAAGGGGAGCTGGACACAGATGTACTCATGCTGGGTGGTAGCAACCTCTGAGGCAAAGGATGAATCTGTTGATGTAAGAGATGGCCTTGAACCCCTGAGGCTATGGCCCTTAGTCACCCTTCAAGACTGGACTTGAACTCATGCCTGTGGCTAAGCTTTCAACTCAACAATCAATTCAGGTGAACAGGACCGCCAAGGAGGCACTCACTCCTAATAACAGTCAATGTTATGAGACCAAAGGAGTTTGCTTCGGGGCATGTTCATAAGGCGGGGAGCTATGGTGGCCTAGTGGTAAGAAGCTGAGCTGCAATGTTGTCGAAATGCTGTTCAAATCCACCAGCTGCTCCGTGGGAGAAGGATGAGCAATCTCCTCCAGGGTGATTAATGGTCTCTGAAAACCCAGTGGAGGGTCCGCTATGAGTTGGTTTCAACTTGATGGCACACAACAACAACAACAACTACAACTACATGCTCATAAGGCGGGAAAGGATGAGTTGAGATTAAAACCACAGGGCACAAACGGGAAGTGTGCTGTTACACTGTCAATTCCAATCAATGTTACAGATCAAAATGCACGTGAACAAACGAATAAGAAATCAAATTGCTTAGCTAACTTTCACTTAAATAAAAAATATCAAGAAAGGCATAAACCTGGCTCCTGTGTTCTGATGGAACTACAGTGATGGAGTTGAGAAGTGGTGTCTCACTCACCCAGATCGGACGAAGTTGGAAAAATACTGCATGATCTTCAGGGACAAGCTCTTCTCCTCCCGAGTGAACTGCCCCTCGTAGGCGGGGTGGAAGGGAAGTCCGAAGGCATACTGCACGTCCGCCAACAGTTCTAAGCTGGAGGGCGGAGGGAGGAGAGGGTGAGAGTTAGAGGCATGGAGAGCAGGCCCTCCTCCCCTCCAAGAAAGAATAGACCTGTCCCTCCTGCCATTACATCTGGAGTTCCCTCTGTTGCTTCCTTTTAGCTTCACGGTGCCCCTTGTGTCCTATGGGTTCAAACTGAACACGTAAGTCTCATCAAACCACCCACTTTCCATGAAACAGGCAACTTCCCAAGAAAATGTCTTTTGACCATATTCCAACCTTGAAATCTATTGCTTCTTTGAATATCTCTGTCCACCATTCACTGGGGGGAAAAGAAAATCAGTAATAAAACTTGTCCATAATCTGAGCCCGTTCTCTCACCAGAATGAGCTCGGGTAGATGTTGTGCTCACTGGAAGGCGGGCAATTTGAAACCACCAGTTACTCCCAGGCAAAGGCACACAGTTGGAATCCAGCCGCTGCTCCACAGGAGAAAGATGGGCAACCAACTCCCCTGCGATTTACTGCCTCTGACGGCTCGGCAACGGGTCTGTTCTGACTCAACAACAGCAGCAACAACGCAGGAGAAAGATGCTCCACAGGAGAAAGACGCGCCGTCTTCTCTCGGAAGCCCAGCGGGATCTGATGCCAGCCGGAATGGACTGGACAGCAGTGGGTCTTGGTTTATTTCCCCACCGGCCATGACATTAAGTCTTGTTCCACTTTAACTATCACCTTCACTACTCCTCGAGGTCGGTGAGCATGCACGTTGTCACCCCAGCACAGGCTCTGGAGCACGGGGAGTGCGTGTGCCCCAAGAACCCACTCAGGGACTAAGTTGAACATTGTGGGGCAGCGGGAGAAAGGTCTGGAAGCCACATCAGCAGGGGGTATGAACAGAGCTGGAGCTGGCACTGGGGGAGGGGGGTTGTTTGAGGGATATGAGCCCCAGGAGAGAATGCTGTGAGCCCAGGAAGATGATTAGATGCGAAAGCAGCAAGCACCTCCAATTTCTCAGATGAGGAAAATAAAGTCTCCTGATTTCCCCAGAGACACACAGCAAGTTGAAGAGGAATGTTGGGCCAGATCAGGTGTTTTCTGTGAGGGGGACATTGAGAGACTGGAGTGTCTAGACCTGGATCTTGGCTTCTCTGTCTTCAAGACCAGACTTGCCTGCTTCCCATGTGCTGGGCACCCGGCGGTACCAGGCACGAGACAGGGAGCAGCAGTGTGTGGTACTCTGCAGAATTCCCAGGCGACATTCTGAGGCTCAGAGACACACAGGGACAAACCTGAGACACGGGGCCAGGATCAGAAACCAACGTCTGCGTCCCGAACCTGTGTCCTCTTTGTCCACCTGAAGATCATTGAAGAGTGATGCTGAGCCCATGGTCAGTAGTGTTTTAAGATTCACAACATGTGAAAGAACTCAGAACAAGAACAACACCAGGCGGAGTACTGTACAAACAAAGCCATAAAGGCTTCCCACTCACACACGTGGTCACGGGCAAGCCCCCCGTCTGGCAGACAGCAGTGACCTGGGAGAGATACTTACCCTCGATGCAGCAGTGGGAACTCGGGCTCAACGAAGTCGTTTCCTGTTGTTTCTCAAGGCAAAGTGTTTTATTTTTGCAGTTCTAAAAATTTGCAATCAAGATGACCTAGGTTAAATCATATGGTTCCCCAAGTTGATGTGCTTGGCTGGGTTCAGTTTTACTGCTTGAAATACAACTTCCTGAAAACCCTCAATGGGAACTCGACTGCTCTGATGACCTGGATTACATAAGCAGATCAATCTTAGCTGATAACATTCCTTTTTGATTTTTGCTCAGTAAGGTCTTAAACATTCTAGAATAAATACACTTTGGTGGTAGTCCACTGCCGATCTCTTTCCAAACCTCTGGGAGGACCAGGTACTCGCACCTGCCTTCCTTCTTTTGCTGTTTCTCCTCTTCAGAGAGGACTGTTAAGAGGACCGCTCAGTGAGCATTCGGCTGTAAACCGCAGTGGACGTGCTTCCAGTGCATGAGACTCTCTGTGGATTTTTGAACCTGTAAACCTTTCTGAGTCTGCTCATCTTTCTCTCCCAGAGCAGCTGATGGATTAGAACTGCCCACATTTCAGTTAGGAGCTCCATATGTCAGTCACTGTGCCCCCAGGACGCTGAGGGTTCAGCCATTGTCACCCCTATTTACTGTGACGCTCTCACAGTATGAACTGGTTCAAGCAGCTTGGTTGAACACAGTACAGGAAGCTGCTTCTCACGCTCGTATCTTCCTGGGATGGCCAGGAAGCTGTCCTCACACAGGTCAGACACCGTGCAGTCTTGGTTGGAAGGCGCACTGCTATTTGAAGATCTTCTCCGATGGCATCGTGTGGGAGTGTGGTGGCCACTCTGAGGGTTTCTGTAGCACCTGGCTGCAGGCAACATGCCTACTTTCTGGCCATAGGCTCTTAACAGTTGAAATTCAAGCTGACCTTGATCTTGACTTACCTCCGCTCATATCAGCGCTGGGCTAAGTGAGGGTCCACACCACCTCCGCAGGCACCCTTCTCCTGGGGAGCAGCGGAACAGGGCTGATCGGGCCTCTAGTTCCACTGCCCCGGTGGAGAGGCTAGTCAATGTCCTCCCTACTCAGCTTTGGCTGTCCCTGCTGAATACTGTGAAGCTCCGGAAGGCAGATGTATTTGTCTTCCATCACTACAACAAGCATGAGCTCTCTGACATTTCTGGAGGTGTGAAGTCTTGTATTGCTTCAGACTGGAATCAGGCGTCAGCAGGCTACATCCCTTTCCAGATATTATGGGGGAAACGACTGTTCTTGTCAGAGTAGTAGCGCCATTCAGCTACTCGTGGTTTCGATCTCATTTCTTGTTGGCTGTAAACTGAAGCTGTTCCCAGCCTCCAGAGCCTCTTGGCCTCTGTGTTAATCTTCAACACAACCACCTCAGGCCAAGGCCTCATAGCGCACCTTTCTGGCATCATGTGTTGTCCCTCTTCTCTGTTTCTATGATATGTGAATCAGTTAGTTTTCCCCACAAGACCACGGAGCATCTCAAGATCTCTACCACAGCCTAGCTTGGTCTTAACTAAGCACTACTCCTAACTCTAGTCCTAAAACCAGACCAAACCCAGGGTCTAGGTTTACTGAAACCCTACTCTTGACCCTAACAGTAGCCCTCACCCTACCCCAACTCTCTCAACAAGTTCCTTAATTATACTAGAAGTCCTTTTGCCAATAAGGTATTCACAGGTCCCGGATAGTCCAATTACTAAATGGGCATTTTGGAAGGCTATTATTTTACCTTCTCTACGTTTCCTTGTCTACCAGTTCTTCCAAAGAAAGCTGCATTCTAAGAGGTGGGGTGTTCTTACCAGTTACTGTTGAACTGGCTTCCACTCATGAGGACCCAATGTGCAACAAAGTACAATAATTCTGAGACATTCATTCTTGATTGTAATGTAGTGAATAGTAATACACTTTCAAGATCTTCGCTTTATGCCCTAGCCCAGTCATTTCATGATAGCGCCATCCTGAACAAGATCAATAACCTGCCTGGGCATCTGTAGCCTCATCAGTAAGACGGCGATGTGGACATGGGACACAGGTTAGTCACGCAGTACTGCAAACCTTTGGTGGTTTCTGGTTCACATACCCACTGCCTTTCCTCCTCTTGTGAGTGGCACATGATGGGCAGGCGGTCCTTAATCTGTTGTCTATTATAGGGCTCTATAGGGCTACACATGCCCTGCCATTACATGCACAACCCTGGAAAACTGAGAGCATGTGCACTTTTCTTGGCAGAGGTGTTATAGTTTCCATGGTTTTCTCCAGAAGGCCTGCAACAAGGGTGTATGATTTAACCACTGACTCCCAGGGTTCTGGGAGGATCCAGTTTTGCAGCTTTCACCAATTTATAGGTGTAAATACTCACAATGTGGCCAATGCCACGCCATTGACCATGACATTGGAAGACAAGTGTGCCATTGGCTGTCACAAGCTGGTGAATGCTTAGGAATAAACTGCTGCTGTTAGTTACAAGGGAATCTCTACAGTTTCTGAAATACCATTGCTTGGTCCTACATGATTTTCACAATTGATGGCTTGCCATATTGTAGGGATCTTGAGATTCTCTGTCTGCGACCCTGGGAGGCTAAGGGGCTCCAGGGAGGAGGCTGGGCAGCCCAGCCGATGGGTCTGTTTACTTTCACAGTCTGTTGTGTCCAGGCTCCTGGTTTGTTTTTTTCCTTAGCAGGCCTGATTTTTATCAGGATGCTGGAGTTATTTTGAGCAGTCTAAGGCAGACATCTGGAGGAGGGACACCCAATGGCAAGCTGTAAAAGAGGGCTCAGGATCGGAAGACCAAGCCCTCAGCGAGGCACAGGCTGAGTCCCCAGATCCAGTGGAGGACGAAGAGGGGATTCAGACGCAGCATCAGTAGAGGAGGACTCAGATGAACACCTTGGGGCTGAAGGTAAAAGGAAGGACCCATTGCTGAATGTGCTTGCATGAGGGTTTATGCGTACCGATTCGGCTGCTTTCTTCTGTGCTGAGATCATCACTGATACATTGTACACTTGAACCTATCATGTCACAGAGGTACATGTGGCCACGTTAGTATTATTTACCATCGGTCTGTCATTTGGTGACTTTGGTCGTAATATCCAGATGAACTTTCTCCCAATCTGACATCTATGGGTCTTACGCTTTGTCCAGCCGTGGCTCTTCTCATTGTCACATAGAGAGAAAAGGTGGGGGCTAAGAGAGGTCTCAATGTCATCTGGGCAAGCACGGGGCAAGTCCACTTCTACCAATGACGTCCTGAGCCTTGTGTGGCTGTTCTTCTAGAAAGTGGCCTGATAATCCAGCTTCTCACGGGGTGTCTTTGGATGCTTATGAATAAGCTGCCGCTGTTAGTTGCAAGGGAGTTTCTACAATTTATTACACAGAATGAAACACTGTTGCTTGGTCCCACAACGTCTTCACAACGGATGGTGCAATCAAGCTGGTGTCGAGGGGACTGATGGTACGC